CTACTGACAATAAAACATACTGCAGTCAACAGTCAATAGCCATAAAAGAGCCCTCATAATATAATGGGGTATTGAGCCACATACTAAAAAAGGACAATATGCGCTTTTGTACAGAAAAGGCAATGACAGGCAATAGCAGCAACACCAACAATATTAAGGAAAGGGAGCCTACCTACATCATCAGATTAAGTAGCACAAACGCCGAAAAAATTGAACAACAACAAACCAACGGCATAACAATTTTTGTTGGATTGATTTTTTTAACATTGTTGTGTGGTTGGCGGTTCGGAGAGAGAGGCATTTTAGAGTTAAATCCAGTAGCTGTTGAAATTTGCAATGATGTGATCTTTTTGTGTAAGAAATAAACATACTTTTCCTTTCGAAAATGTGTTTTTTGGTTAAGAGTTCTTATGCATTTTTTTTGTTTTGTTAGGTAGGTTGATATCTGTCGATCTTTGTTAAGGCGTTTTTGCAGATGTGGGCTTTACCAAAAAATAAAATAATAAAATCGAAAACAGCTTTAGTATATCCTGCATAAAAAGAACCAAAAATACTGCAGTGTTTCTTTTACAAAAATTCTGGTTAACACCAAATATGTTAACGAAGTCGACTATGACAGTCTCTAATACGCCGAAGTAATTAGGATTTGTGCGTGATATCGTGAAGCTCTTAGCAACTCTGCTGTAGAAAGAATACCATCTGAAGCTCTTCTATAGCAGAAACCCTTCTGAAGTTATTCTATATACAAAGGACCTTTTCTATGAACAGAAGACCTTCTGAAACTCTTCTAAGAACAGAAAACTGTCTGAAGCTACTCTATGAACAGAAGAACTTCTGAAGTGTTCTATGGACAGAAGACCTTCGGAAGCTTTTATCTGGGCAGAAGATAATCTGAAGCTCTTCAATAGAGAAATATCATATAAAGCTCCTATATAGCCTGAAGACCTTCTGAAGTTCATTTATAGACAGAAGACCTTCTGGAGCTCTTCTATAGATGAACAAAATACCTGAAGCTCTTCTATATACACCTTTCAAGATCATCTATGCATAGAATACCTCTCGAATCTTTTCTATACATAGAAGAACCTCGGAATTTGGAGTTTCCAAATATTAAAGAAATATATTCATTATACATATTTTTTAAATCATTTATCGCAGCACAGCATAAGAAAAATACTAAATTTACTTTTGAACATTTTTATTACGACGTTGTGCATATAATATTAAGTCTATAGGGGATACTGGCCACTCTGCTAAATAAAAAGAACCAACAAAGAAATGCGTAAAAAATTGGTTAATATCAAAGAACAAGACAAAATCGTTACTTGAAATTCGAAACTTGACCCAAGCAAAGAAGAAACACAGAAAAAACAAAACAACAAGAATATCTTCTTCCTACAATGAAAGTGGTACAGCTGCAAAATAATAACATGCTCTGCTTCTGGGCCCCCTCTCTCTATCTCTCTTAAAGAAAATCAAACCATAGCCAATGGTCAATGAAGCGAAAAATAAATGAAGCAAATAACATTAGCTATAGATTTGCAACTTTTTTTGTATTTCTTCCATTTGTGAATTCAACGCAGCGGCACAACAACAGCGGAAAAAAGATATTCCACAAAGAAATCTTGTTGGCCATTAGATACAATACACATGTCTGCATACATACGTACATACATATGCGGCACACATGCTTGCATTATGTATGTTTGTAGCATGTTGCAAATGCTTGGATATACTATTTTTGCCATATAGCCTTGACTTTGTCCTCTAAAGTGAACACGTTTATAATTAAAGTTGGCTTGTTTGGTTGTTAGTTTCCACCATACCGTCGTCTTACTTCGAAAATTTAACATAAAGGAGGAAAGGAAAGTCCAAATCTCCTTAAAACACAACACGCACGCACATTCTCTCGACGGATGGTGTAGCATAAAACGATCCATGTGCGTGCTGGCAGCAGCCGCAACCAGAATCACACAAATGGCTCTGTGGATGGATGCGTTTTCATTGAAACTGGTTTTGTCTTTAATGGTTAAGCTAAAGCTGTGTCCAGCTTTGATATTGCAATAAGAAGTATCTCTATAGGAACAAAAAAACATATGGTCCAATGACCATTTGCCGACCGGGAAAAAAGTAACAAATAGCCGTTTAGCAGTAACATCATTGCAATTCATTGTTGTTGGCGATGATGATGTTGTTTATTTCTTTGCTCATGGTTTTTGTTATAGCCGTAATTGAAGGATATCTTCCCAGAGGAATAAACGATTATAACTGTATTTTATTTTTAAAGGCATAACTAACATAAATGATTTTTCGAAGATCCCAGAAATGAATAGGAATTTTAATATTTTCCCCAAGGTCAGATATTTAGGAAAGTAATTATTATTAATTTGTATTCATTTAAAAACGGATCGTAGAAATAAATGTTAAAAAACATTGGTTGAAAAGGGGATGGTTTTCTTCACCATATGTCCAATATAAGGACATACACTATTTGCCTCATGTGTCCTTACCTTCATACTTAAGTCAACAGTTTTTTTTTTTGAAATTTATAAAGTAATTAAAATAATTATTTTATCATAACTTTTATTAAATAAAATATATATTTTTAAGTCCTTGTGCATGATTTAATGTTGTTATATACCTGATGAGTCTTTATAGACGAGCTGAAGAAGAGAGTCTTTATAGATGAGCCGACGGAGGGAGTTTTTATAGACGATTTGTAGGAAGTCTTTATATACAAGCTGAAGGAGGGAGCCTTTACAGACGAGCTGAAGAGGGGAGTTTTTATAGACGATTTGAAGGAAGTCTTTATATACGAGCTGAAGGAGGAAGTCTTTACAGACGAGCTGAAGGGAGTCTTTATAGACGAGCTGAAGGGAGTCTTTATAGACGAGCTGAAGGGAGTCTTTATAGACGAGCTGAAGGGAGTCTTTATAGACGAGCTGAAGGGAGTCTTTATAGACGAGCTGAAGGGAGTCTTTATAGACGAGCTGAAGGGAGTCTTTATAGACGAGCTGAAGGGAGTCTTTATAGACGAGCTGAAGGGAGTCTTTATAGACGAGCTGAAGGGAGTCTTTATAGACGAGCTGAAGGGAGTCTTTATAGACGAGCTGAAGGGAGTCTTTATAGACGAGCTGAAGGGAGTCTTTATAGACGAGCTGAAGGGAGTCTTTATAGACGAGCTGAAGGGAGTCTTTATAGACGAGCTGAAGGGAGTCTTTATAGACGAGCTGAAGGGAGTCTTTATAGACGAGCTGAAGGGAGTCTTTATAGACGAGCTGAAGGGAGTCTTTATAGACGAGCTGAAGGGAGTCTTTATAGACGAGCTGAAGGGAGTCTTTATAGACGAGCTGAAGGGAGTCTTTATAGACGAGCTGAAGGGAGTCTTTATAGACGAGCTGAAGGGAGTCTTTATAGACGAGCTGAAGGGAGTCTTTATAGACGAGCTGAAGGGAGTCTTTATAGACGAGCTGAAAGGAAGTCTTTATAGACGAGCTGAAGGGAGTCTTTATAGACGAGCTGAAGGGAGTCTTTATAGACGAGCTGAAGGGAGTCTTTATAGACGAGCTGAAGGGAGTCTTTATAGACGAGCTGAAGGGAGTCTTTATAGACGAGCTGAAGGGAGTCTTTATAGACGAGCTGAAGGGAGTCTTTATAGACGAGCTGAAGGGAGTCTTTATAGACGAGCTGAAGGGAGTCTTTATAGACGAGCTGAAGGGAGTCTTTATAGACGAGCTGAAGGGAGTCTTTATAGACGAGCTGAAGGGAGTCTTTATAGACGAGCTGAAGGGAGTCCTTATAGACGAGCTGAAGGGAGTCTTTATAGACGAGCTGAAGGGAGTCTTTATAGACGAGCTGAAGGGAGTCTTTATAGACGAGCTGAAGGGAGTCTTTATAGACGAGCTGAAGGGAGTCTTTATAGACGAGCTGAAGGGAGTCTTTATAGACGAGCTGAAGGGAGTCTTTATAGACGAGCTGAAGGGAGTCTTTATAGACGAGCTGAAGGGAGTCTTTATAGACGAGCTGAAGGGAGTCTTTATAGACGAGCTGAAGGGAGTCTTTATAGACGAGCTGAAGGGAGTCTTTATAGACGAACTGAAGGGAGTCTTTATAGACGAGCTGAATGGAGTCTTTATAGACGAGCTGAAAGGAGTCTTTATGGACGAGCTGAAGGAAGTCTTTATAGACGAGCTGAAGGAAGTCTTTATAGACGAGCTGAAGGGAGTCTTTATAGACGAGCTGAAGGGAGTCTTTATAGACGAGCTGAAGGGAGTCTTTATAGACGAGCTGAAGGGAGTCTTTATAGACGAGCTGAAGGGAGTCTTTATTTATAGACGAGCTGAAGGGAGTCTTTATTTATAGACGAGCTGAAGGGAGTCTTTATTTATAGACGAGCTGAAGGGAGTCTTTATAGACGAGCTGAAGGGAGTCTTTATAGACGAGCTGAAGGGAGTCTTTATAGACGAGCTGAAGGGAGTCTTTATAGACGAGCTGAAGGGAGTCTTTATAGACGAGCTGAAGGGAGTCTTTATAGACGAGCTGAAGGGAGTCTTTATAGACGAGCTGAAGGGAGTCTTTATAGACGAGCTGAAGGGAGTCTTTATAGACGAGCTGAAGGGAGTCCTTATAGACGAGCTGAATTATATGCAGTTACAGTTCAGTTCAAGCAGAAAGTCGAATTAAATCAATAAATGTATGTGTCTCATTAGCCGAGCTGAAATGACACCGTATAAAGGAATTTAAAAGACCACTGTTATTCTATTTTAGAGTCTTTGTATGGATGAGTTTAGGAGAACTTAATCTGTAGTGTTTGTTTTTTCTTTTTAATATGTAATTCCATTATATACGTGTTTATATATTATACATATATTGTATTGAATTTATTATATTTAATAACAACGATTTAAAAACGAAAATAAAATATTTTTCTTATTACATAGGTATGGACTATACTAAATTTTCAAACATAACTTACCATTTTGTACGTAAACAAATACAAGCTATTTTAGCAACGATTCCAATCTATTTTGTGTTGACGATTTGACCGAGTTAGAAGAGTTTTGTTTAAGCAATGCTGCCAATTGCAATAATGAGTTTTGTTGTTGGGTCTTTGATACCACTTTCTGGACCTTGTTGTTGTTGCTGTTATTATTACTAGCTGCAGGGTTGGTGGTTACATTTGAAGATTTCTTCTTTTTCTTTGTTTTATTCGATTGCGTCTGCAATTGTGTTGTCGTTATTGTTGTTTTTGGAGTTTGTGCAATTGTCGTTGTTGGAGATGGTTTCGCTATTGTTGGTGTCTGTGGATTTTGGGGTGTTTTTTGTTTGTTGGCATTCGGCTGTTTCTCTTTTTGTTTTGCCTCCAAAGGTATTTTCAAACCAGCACCTTTATCTTTGTTTTTCTTTTTCTTTTTTTTGGCCGTTGCCTTTGGCTCATTGTCTATGACAATTGCCATATTTTCCTGTTTCTTATCTTCCTCAACATCTGCCACTTTCTTTTCTTTCTTTTTCGGTTTATCCAATTTGACTATTGATTTATGTTGACATTGATCACATTTAATTTCAATATATTGGGTGGCCCTCTTCTGCAACCATTTGGCACGTTTTCTTTGCTTGCCAGTTAGCAAAGTCTTTTGACCGGGTTCCTTGGACTTATTTAATTTGTCTATAAGGCGTTTTGTTTTCCCCTTCACAGTTACATGTTGTGATTTTAGTTTCATGCGGAATTCATTTTCACTCCAAAACAGACCACAATGCGAACACATTTGGGTGCTGGCAAATTTTTCTTTTGGTATTTGTATGGTATTCTTTACATATCTCCGGCACATATTCCTAGGGAATAATAAATTAAAAAATTAATAAACTGTAGGTTTAATAAGTCTCCAAAATACTTACATATAATAGGATTTTAGTAGTTTATGGGTATGTGTTTCGGGTGCCAAAGCAGTGGAGCAATTCCAAAGCAAACTTGCTCTATTCTCTCGTGCTTCGGCCATTGTAAGATAAAGAACTGTGTCTACTTTAAAATGTAATTGCTACTTTCTCGAGATTTTCAGTTATTCATTCAACAAACTTCGAATTAAAGCCAGACCAATTAAATCAAAGATCGAAACGCCACAAAAAACAAAAAGCATGCCCTCAACAGCTGTTGTTTAGAATAGCTAAATCAAAGCAAATTCCGCAAACATATGTTTTAGGTATCTATAAATCGAAAATAGGCAGGAAATATATGGGGGTCAATATTCGAAAAATCTACCATTCATGTAGCAACAAGGAGTACACATTTACGGGGAAGAACATTTAATGTCGCCCTTATTCGAACTATAAGCAAAATCAATGTAGCATTTTAGATGAGCTGAAGAGAGAGTATAGGAGAATTGAAGTGGATTTTTATATACGAGTTGAAGGAAGTCTCTATATACTAATTGAAATTAATCTTTGTTGACGATCTGAAGAAAGTCTTAGTAGAAAAGCTGAAGGGAGGATTAATAGAAGGTAGTTTTTATAGAGGAGGCTTGATGTAATAGTAGTTACAGGATCGCTTATATGTGTACTGTTTACTACCAGTCAGTTTAGTTTTTCTGTTGTACAATAAATCTCAATATTTTTCTTTAAATACAACCCTGTAATTACCCCTAGCGGGTATTTACAAAACTTATGTCAACAGTGCCTCCTAGCGGGCATTGCGGAAAATAAAATTTTGAAATTTTCTTCAACTGTTTACAAGTCGTCGGCGCTTGACAAATTATCAATTGAAGTTTAACTACAAAGGAAAAAGGGTCTCCTTGAGAAGAAGGCATTTCTTATCCTGGCGAATTCATAGAATTCCGGAGCACAAAAATAGTTACAAATTAAAAAAAAACAAATAGTGGAAAGTGAAAATAAAATTTAATAAAATTAAAATAATATAGCAATAAAGAAATACAACGCGAAATATTGTTACAAAGCAAACAAATGAAAAATGGATCCTTTTACACAGGTAAGAAGAAGAAGCAGCTGCAGTGGCATAACTTAAGATTTCATGGAATGTTTTGGAAGAAAAACTAATTAAATTTTTATAATTTGTTCCACAGCGCATGCTTGAAAAGGCAGAACAACGCAGCCGTGCCTTGGGTATTTCCAGTACAGATGCCAGTCGATTCCCTTGCGGAGATGCCAATACCTCATCGTCGTCAATGGCTTCAACCATTAGTACAGGCAGCATGCTGGGCAGCGGCGTCGGCGCCGCTTGTGCAACAACAATGGCGTTAGCTTCGCAACAAAAACAACAGCTGCCCTTGCATTCTTCAGCAAACACAACATCGTCGACTGGCAGTGGTGGAGGCGCTGTAAATAAATTGCATGTTGTGGAGAAAACTATGGAAACAATGGCATCAAATACAACAAAAAATAACGCCGCAAATGGATCGCCACGTAAAGTCTTAAGACAATTTTCAGCCGTGGATAAGGAAAATGTTGATTTGGGCATTGAGATTAATATAATGACGGATAAAAATGTTGAGGTAAGTAGTGGCGAAAAAAATCTAAGCAGCTGAAACAGCAGTTCAAGAAAGTCTTGAGGTTATAAAAAGCAAATTAAAAAAAGTTTAATATGATGTCATTGGGAGGATATTTGATATGAGTGCTGATCAACGATTTCCCACGAAAACTTTCCAAATGCATATCGGCATTAGAGAGGATGTAGTTTAATTGCTATGTGAAAAGTGTTGTTATTGCTGTATTGTGTACGGCTGTCGAACAAATGCCAATCATCATTGCTCTATTTTCGTTGGGAGACGCTTCAAAAATACATTTTAAATTGTAAAATGCTTTATTTGGATGTAGAGCTCTGCTGATGACAACTTTTCACAGGATAGACGGGTGTTACTATACCAATTTTCACTGGCAGAATAAAATTATATTAAGCTATTTTAAAAAGTATTGAAGACGAAAATACTGGTTTTAACATACAAATTCCTCACATGCAGAATTCTATTCAAATATTCTAATATTAATATTATTGAAACTGACTGACGCGAAAAGCTATTTTGAGAAGATAGCCGTTTTTCCATCTCCAAAACCCAAGCCTCAAAGACAATGTCCATTATAAGTCGCAAAATTTTTTGACCAAGGCTTTCCCCTTTATAAGTCCTGTACAACTAACCAAAGTTATGTTTTTTTAGTAAAAACTATTCGATTTCTATTTTTAAATTATTTTTTTTTTAAATTTCTGTCATTGAAAACTTATAAAAAAATCTCTACTTCAATTTTTTTACAGGTTCAAGTTCAAGTTGAAGAACAAGAAATAACTGACGATGATGATTACAGCAAACATATGGCGAAAATCGGTAACATTGGCACAACCGAGGGTACGCAAAAAGTTGTCGTCAATGAACCAGCCGTAAAAATTCGTGATACTTCACGGAATCGTTTACAACGCTTGGGTGCTTTATATTCTGACAAAGATGATTTATCATCTCCCATACATCGCACCGAAGCCAATTTCCATGCTGACAATAAAGACGAAACCGATATGGATAATCATTTGAATAAACCAAAACAACGTTTTGGTAAATTGGCTGCTTTGGCCAGTACCATAAATCAATGGGAAGATGATACCTCACATCATGTCATCACTCCTACGACGGAGGTGGCAAAAGTACCACCACCAAAACCTGATTTACCAAGTCGTGGACGTTTGAGGCCCGAGGGTCATGTTAAAGCGCAAGCACCACAGCCACCCAAGGATCAAACGCCCAAATCACCCAAGGCCCAACAGGCACCAAAATCACCCAAAGCCCAACATGCACCCAAGTCACCCAAAGCCCAACAGGCACCTAAATCACCCAAAAACCTTGCTCCCAAATCTCCCAAAGACAAGGAACAAAAAACCAAACAATTAAAATGGGATCCGAAGGTTTTAAATTCCCTGGAGGCCCAAGGTTTCCAAAGACGTGAGTCATCCACCGTTAAGGTATCCTATGACTTTAAAGATGATGAAGAAATGAAAGATGACGAACCACAAACCACTACCAGTGCTGTAGTAAAATCAACGGAAAACGCTAAAGAAGAAAAACGTGTTGTTGGAAAATTGGATACAGCCAAATTTAATGTTCTTAACTCAAATGACCAAAAGAAACCACCAGTGGCAGAGAAAAAAATACCAGCTGTTAAGACGGGAATGGTATCGGGCAGGGCAGCCATATTCGAGGCTCAAGCAAATCAGCATCAACAACAGCAAAAGCCACAAAAAGATCCCACTGAATTGTCGCTGAAGGAGCGCATGAAACTTTTCGAAAAGAACAAAGGAGAAGCCCTGATTCCTAAGGCTGCTTTTGGTATGGCACCACCTCTAAGTAAAATATTACAGGATTCGCATAATAAAAAGGAGGAACAACATACAAAAGGTAAATAAATTTTACTTTATGATTTTTCCTTTAGGAATGTATTAAGGTTTTTCCCAAAAATAATAAGAAATTGTCAAAATCCTGCCATAATTCCTAAGTTTTCCTGAACATATAATTTTCTGAATTCTGTTCTCAGAAATAATTAGGAACGGCGAACAAATTTTCTTGCATTGTTTTATAGAAATTAAGATTCAAGAAAACTCAACCTAGGATTCTATATTGATATACAGATTGCAGGATAATTATTCCACGAAAATAGTAATGTTTTCTTAAGAAAATGTGCAAAGTACGATTCCTAGAAATTGTTAAATCCACGTAAATTTTAGCCATTAGAAATTTTCTACGAAATATTCTTAAAATTCTTAAGGAATTTTAAGAATTTCTTGGAAAATAATTTCGTAATTCACTGAGACTAATCCGCATTTTTATTACCACTCCTTAAAATTGCTACCTGCTATATTTTAAGTAACATACTAATCTTAATCACTTTTACTACCTCCTTTTCTAGTAGTTACAACAAGCACGACAGCTGCACACAGTAATACAAAAACAAATCCTCCACCGTCTGCAGAACCAGTATTAGTTAAAACAAAACCTGAGAGTAAATTGCGAGATAAAGTTGCAGCTATTTTTGGTTCGACACAATCTGAGAATAAGATTAAGGAAGACATACGTAAACAACGTGAAGAAGAAATGCAATTGCTGGCCAATCGTTTTAATAAACAAAAAGAGATTTTTGCACAACAGCAGCAGCAGCATCAACACCCAACTACTTCTACAAAAGATCAGGAATTACGGGAATTAGCACAACAAGCCCAAGTTAAGGCAGCTGCAGCATCATTAATTACATCGTCATCATCGACCACAAGACCACATGCACCACCGCCACCACCTCCATTGCCAGCTGCTGGTGGAAGCCAACAGCAGACTATCAAAAGAAGATCACGTAAGTTGAAAAGTATACCTTTAATAGAAAGGCTCCCATTATTTTATCCTTGAAAAGCCCTTACAAGCACGCGTTTAAATGGGCTTTTAGAATAGTTTTGCCTTCGGGTACTCTGTTCTGGTTCAGTGCTATTATAAATCATCAGCTCTCCTATTAAACTTCCCAGCTTTGTACCCAGTTCAATTGTAAGACAAAGACTCCACCAGCTCTCCTATAAAACTTCCCAGTTTTGTCCCTTGTTCAACTATAAGACAATTTCAAGTTAGTCAATCAAGATTCCCCTCAGCTAGGCTGTAAAGACACCATTCAATTGTTTTTTAAAATACCCCCATTGGCCTCCTTCTTTTGGAGACTCACTTTAGCTCGTTTGTAATAACCTATATACAGCTCTTATATTAAGGCTTCCTCTAGTTTGTCTAATCTCCGGCTCATCTATAAGAACTTTAATAGGAGGATCCCTTCAAGTTTCATATATTTTTAATTTGTGTTTAAATTATTTCTACATTAATTTTATTTTTTTAATTACTATTTTTAATTATTGCAGCTGGTGATGCAATTGATGGCGCTGGAGAAGATAGTAAACGTGTACGCACAAATCGTTTATACCCGGCTTTGTCTGATCTTGAATCAAATGAATCATTTTCGGATAATGAAAATAATTACTGTAATGCCGGCACCGTTTCGGCTCTAAGTACAGCTGATGAAATGAAGGCCTCGCTGGAACCATTACGTGGCCATGAAGCTGCTGCTGCAGATGATGATGACAACGAAGACAGGTGCGAAGAAAAATTCTATTCATTTTTAATGTTCTGTCTATGTATTGATTAGTCAAAAAATACGCACAAGTATTTTATTTATTAAAAACATCCAACGAATATAGGCTTTTCCAATATACCAAATTAGTTGATAAGTATTAACACATATTTATTTATTCGCATATATATTTATTTAAACTATTTATTGATAGCTTTAAATATCTATACAAAAATTATTTATTTTGAAATAAATGTTTGTTATATGTTGTCCATATTTTTTGTGTGGCCAAGAAATTAAATTATTTTCGATTTCTTTTTGAATTTTTGATTGTTAATTGATTGGTATTTATTTTATATTTTTCCCCCTCTTTTTTATTTATCCCATTTCCCAAACAATCATAAAAATTTGGATTTTTATGTTATGTCTCCTACCTACCCTCTGTGCGTGCACCCCATTAGTTATATGGAAACTGAAACTGAAGACAGCAGTGTTGGTATTTGCAATGGTAGTTTAGGACGTGAAATAATGCAAGTTGTACAAAAGAATGATAAGCAAATGACAAATATCAAGGTAAGTAAATAAATAAAAACAACCCTTTTTTATTTTATTAATGTATGTGTGTGTGAAATTTATCTTACAGGAAGTTAGATATGCCGATAAAGATGAATACTTTGAAGATGCCACCCGTGATTCATCATTAAATTCTTCAGCCGCCTCAATGGGTATGGATGATTATTTAGATGAAGCCCTGGAAGAAAATGAAGATGGTGATGATGATATTACACAAGATGAAGAAGATGATGAAAATAATAGTCGTTTATCGAAGGGGGTTAGAGTTAAAAAACATTCTTGTAATAGAAATAAATTGTAATTTGTTTCCTTTTCTTCTTTTAGAGCAAAGGAACAACTGCATCTAATAGCTTTAGTTTCCGCAAAGCAAATACCCCCAATAGACAGGCCACATATCAAACTATTCACGAGGAACATGGTGACGATCATCAACAATCATCATCCATGAAGGCGGAAAATTCGAATGAAAATTTTGGGGATGCTACCACATCATCTTATATGCATCCAGTGAAATCGGAATTGAGCATAAATAAGGAAAATGAAAATGTTGTAACATTGGTGCACACGGTCAGCTTTTATCGTCGTCAACAAAGTGCAAATGTAAGTATTTTTATTTCAATTAGACAGCTTTGGGTGATTCATTCAGCTAAGACACCCACCTCATATTTTGTAGGAGGTAGGTTTGATTTCAATTTTAATCAGCAAGTCAAAGAAAACAGCAATTAGGAAAATATATATTGGAGGTAATATAATTCATTCTGTTCGTCTAATATAATATCCATATATTAGTTCATAAGGAAGATCTTCCACTCGTCTTAATGTCTACCATCTATTCGTTAATAGTCTTCCTTCTGTACATATAACAGTCAGCTCAACATTTAATACTCTCACAGAGACTGAATTTTATTCCTCTATATAAAGACTTCTTTCTATTCTTCTATAAATAACCTCCTTCTATTCGTTTAAATTGACAATCTACTTTTAATCGTAAATTTACCTTTTATTGGTCTATAGATATAGTTTCCAATTTCTCTATGAATACAACATCAAAGGAGACTTCTTTCAGCTCGACTATAAAGACTATCCAATTCGTTTACAACACATTTTTAAACTCGTCTAAATACGACTATCAGCTCGTCGATTACTTTATCAACTTACCACACTAGTCATTCAGTTGAGGCCAGTTTGATGTGTTCTCCATTCAAATTTAGTTAGTTTCGCCACTAATTTTCAACACTGTTCTCAACTTAGATGTTGAATTTATCAATAATGGTTTGTGATATTGCTTAGTAACGGAAATTTTCTATTTTCACCACCATAAATCCACCATCATAACCGTTTCAACAACCTTCAACTAATTCAACATTTCCCCATTCTCTTAACAGAGTGCCAATTCAACACCGATACGTAAAATATGTCGTGAACAGCAAGTTTTGCGTTCAGCCATGGAAAAACTAGAAACTAAAGGTGTTGGAGAACAAGTACATTTTGTACACGAAACCGTCAACGATGAGAGTGACGAAGAAAGCCATTCGGAAGCTGAACAAGATGATTCGCATTTGGTGCAGGAAAAAATCAAGAAACTTTTGGAAGAAGTTTGTAAGCAGCAACAGGTTATTGCACAGACCAGTCAAGCTTTGAATTTGTGTGCAGCTACAATTGAGTTTTCGGGCTCCACCGAATCCGTGGAGGGTGAACGACATCTTTTGGTGGCAAGTGAGTAAAAATCATAATTTGAAATTTGGCAATTTTTCAAATAATCATTTTATCCTATGCATTTATTTTGCAGCCCATCGCCGCCAAGCCTGTCTGGATGAAGTACAACGTTTACGTGTTGAGAAAACTTTACGCCCCTTGGGAGCACCCCGTGAAAAGGGTCGTCTAACCGTAAAGGAAATTACCATTCCTCTTCGACAAGATTACATACGTAAATTGGCAGCTGATACTATTTCAGGTCATCATCTCGTTTGCTTGCTTAAATATAATGAACATGTTTTAGCAACCAAAACAGTGCCCACATTACCTGGCCTTTTGGCGGTTAAATTCCCAGATGTTTTGCAATTGAATAATGTCTATGCTGACTTTAGAGTAACTTTGGAAATTTATGGAATGACTGCGCAGAGAGAAGTTCTACCCCATGAAGTTAAATACCACATAAATTTAAATAAGAAATCTGGTGCAAAGACACCCAAAAAGAAGGGATCCGATAACCGTCTGATTATGCCACCAGTACAGAGTCCAGCTGGTCCTCATGCAGTGCGTACACCTGCCTTGGTACAATATGGTTTTGCCATATTCTCGTTGAGAGAAATACAAAGAACCTCATGGACGTTAACCCAGGTTTTGGGTGTTAGCCCCTTGGAAGGTGTCGTCCATATGAAGGTCAATTGTGAACTGTCGGTATCAGTGGAGTACAAAGGATTCCTCACCATGTTTGAAGATATTTCCGGCTTTGGAGCATGGCACAGACGTTGGTGTCATTTAAATGGCACCATGTTAAACTACTGGAAATATCCTGATGATGAAAAGAAAAAGGCTCCAATGGGTTCCATTGATTTGTATACCTGTTCATCGCAAAAAGTAAATACAGCGCCGCGGGATATCTGTGCTCGTTTGAACACCATGCTATTGGAGTGCCAAAGACCGGCACGTGAAACAGATCAAGAATCATTGGTCATTGTGCCAAATGGTCGCACCACAACTGTTAGATATCTGCTATCTGCAGATACTAAGGAAGAGCGTGAAGAATGGTGTGCATATTTCAATAAAGCCTTAACATTATTAAGAGCATGGGGACCACCACAGTAATGGAATTGGAAATCAATGCAACGCATGCCAGCGTGTCGTCGTCATCCCTACATGAATCGCAATGTCACAAACCTGTTCAATGTTAACATGAGTTCGTTTATATTCGTAACCAAGTTATCGTTGTTTCAATATATATATATATATATATATATATGTTGATATGTGTTTAGTATTAATAATTCTATTTTTTTAATGTAACGAAATCGTTTATTTGTCATGATATTCTAAATATCATAAATTAAGTGTCGTTGATGGAAGAATCATCGTTCATATGTACCCAAATTCTGCTATATGCGAAGTACGTTTACATGTGTATTGTGTTTTATTTTTGTTTTGCTTGCCAAATTGGTTTTGAAAATTTATCATTTACATATTAACTTAAATGAGAAAAAATAAAAATAGCATAGCGTTAACAACATAACCTCAAAATGTTATTTTGGCGCATTCGTTTTATAACCAACCCAGTTTATATATTTTTATAGTCTTTAATGTAATTCAATGGTAATTCAAAATATATGCATTGTTTAATATTTATATAACATTATAATTATCATCTAAGTCGTCGTATTTTTTCTTGTATTAACTAGATACATGCGAAGTAAATTTTTTATAAGACATCAAAACAAAAACTAAATAAAAAATAAAATATTTATGTACTTATGTATAAAAAAAACTAAACAAAATTTGTTTTTAATATTTTCTTTTTTATTTTTATTTAAGATTTCACCATTCAAGTATCCTGAAGTTGGTGTTGAATGAATAAGCAATGCTGAGATATTACAATAACATGCAAAAATTATCTAATGAAGGTGTTTTAAGAAATATTTCAAAATTTGTTTTCAATTCATAGATGATCACAACATCGAACCTTAATTTGTTGCAGAAACAATTTGGAAAAAAGGCTTTGAATTACTAGTTAAATAAAATTGAATTGAAAAACCTGATGAGCTATTTAAGGCGGACGAGAATAAGGAATCAAAAGGAGTAATATGTATTACTGGAATGGAGATTTTTGAAAATGTGAGTCAAACTATTGTTTATGTAAAATTTTATTTTTTCAAGAAAACTTGGGACTTTCATTAGAAGACCTTTTATGAGAAGACCTTTTGGTCTTAATTTAGAAGAATATTTTGTCCTTCTTTGAGAAGGCCTTTTGACTTTATATGAGATTATATGAGAAGACCTTCTGTCTTTTATGGGCATATCTACTGGCCTCATATTAGAGAATATTCTGACCTTCTAATGAGAAGACCTTTCGACCTTCTATCAGTAGGCCTTTGGTGAAGGTCTTCGGAGAAGAAATGTTTGGCCATCTATGAGAAGACCTTTTTGCCTTTTATGTGAAGTTGTTTGGCAGTATGATTAGACCTTCTGAACGGGTATGAGAAGACTTTACGATTATTTTTGAAAATAGCTTCTTGTCTAATATAAGACTTGATGGCCCTTTATGAGTAGACCTTCTGGCCTACTATGAAAGGACCTTTGTACATTCTATGAGGACATCTTCTGGCCTTTTTTACCACACGAGAGCATCCTCTCCTTTATTTTACTTACCTAGAATTTAAAAGGATTTTGATCTCGATTTAAAAAAAAAACGAAATTAAATTTATTTATTTTTATTTATTTTGTTTCCCTTTCTTGCATATTATTTTTTATTTGTATAGTTTATTAATAGTTATAATACATAGACATTTAGTATTAACAACTTGAAATATTGAACAGTATGGATGTTTTTAATGTTTTATTTTGTTATTATATCCATATATAAATTATGTTTTATACTTTTAACAACATTTGTTTATTTTATTTTTAATTATTCTTGAGCATATTACTTGTTTTATAACTTCTCCATTGTTTAATTTTTTAACATTGTTGTATTGATTTATGTTGTTCTTTTTTGGAAAGCACACATTTAAAGCATTAACAATTTTCATATAAATTTATTTTTTTTTTCTATTTGGACATTTAGTTTGAAATAAATGTGTGTGTATGCTTGTATGTAGGATCATAGGACATTTTAATGATAATTTAATGTAATGTTGGTTGTGTGTATTCTTCTGTTTTGATACGAACTCAATTATTTTGCCATTTTCTGAAGAATTATTACCGTTTTGTTTTTATGTTAAGAAAAAAATTAAAATTGAGTCTGGAAATTTTTGCTTTAGGGTGGGTTGGAAATTGTTAAATGTACCGTGTCTTGTAATGAGGTTCCATTTGGTGTTATTTTGGTTTGGTTTTGTTTATTTTTTGGTTGGTTAATGTAAAACAATAATAAACCTTGTTTGTTGTGTGTGTTTTTTCGGCGTTTTTATTGTCATGTGTTGCTTTTGTTGTTGTTGTAATGTAATTGCTTTCTAAGGTAGGTAGGTATTCATGTAAAATGAGAAGGGTTTTTTTTTGGTTTCCCAATCGTATTTTTGCACATACATCTTTTCCATCTGAGTTCAGTCTGAGATTGAATATGTTTGTGCTAAAAAATCACTTGGTTGGTTTATTTTAAGCAATATCTTCTTTGCAAAACATTTTGTATTTTGTTTTGTGCTTTCTCTCTAAAATTTGGCAATTTCTTGCATTATTTTCTTTTTGATAGTTGTTACACATATAGTATATATTTTCGTTTATCTATGTATGTCCTTGTGTATTTTATATATGCGTTTTGTTTGTTTGTATATATGTATATATGTTTTGTTGTTATGCTATTCTAATTGATATGGTTTATATTTTGTTCATTCAATATCAATGTGTTTACAAAAAAACTCCCTAAATATTTCGTATTTGATTTTCATGATTATTTTTTTAAAATTTCGAATTTAGTGTTGAATAAAAAGTATTTTTTCCAGAAATGAAACAAAATTACAATAAGATGAAAGTAGAATAATCTTTTTCGGGCTTTCAATAAAAGAAATAGACCAGCAGTTGTAGAATGGGAAATGCCAAGGGAATTTCCAGCAATTATATCAGAGGACCTCCGGATCTCCTATGAAAAAATCCTGCTCTCTATAGTTCTGTATGAAAATCTTTTAGGAAAATACCTTCTGGTCTTCTATGATACATTCTGATTTCTATGACAATTATCTCTGGACTTTATCAGGATCATCCATAAGATCTTAGAAGACCTATTGTTGTTCTGCTCTTCTATAGGAATACGTTATGGCCGTCAACGAGAAGATATTCTGGTGTTCTTTGAGAAGATCATCAGGCCAGCTATAAGAAGATCCTTCTTTAAGAAAATGTTCTGATCTTCCCCGATATCTTCTGGACTTCCATGTGAATTATATTTGAACTTGCTGGAAAACCTTTTTTCCATGCGAATATTGATGGCCTTTTTATAGGAAGACCTTTGGGCCTTCTACGATAATAACTTCTGTGTTTCTATTAGAAAATCTTCTGGACATTTATGAGAATATATTCTGTTCTGCTATGAAGAGTGCTTTTGGCTTTTGTTGAGAATACCTTCTGAATTTGTATAGATTTTATTGAAAAGATCTTTTGGTATTATATGGAAACTCCTACTGACCTTCTGTAATTCTGTGGGAACACCTCTTATGAAAGGACCTTCTGGTCTGATAGGAGTTTTACTGACTTTCTAGTTCATCTATGTGAACGTCTATTGGATATTCTTTGGTTCTTCTTTGGAAAAGTGTTTTTTTGTTACATGAAAATAGAGAACGTCTTTGGACTGATATGAAAAACCTTTTGTTTTTTTTAATGTCTGCTGGTCTCTCTGCACCGCTATGAGAACACCTTCTGTTCTTATATGCAAATAACTTCTATTAGAAGATCTACTGACTTTTTATTAGAACTTTTTCCCATCTGTAAATATGGTTCCATATATTTTATATATAACATCTCTAGACCTCTCTATAGGAATACAAAAATTATTTGATTCTTTTCCATAAGATCTACCGATTTAGCTATAATTATTTTTTATGGAAAAATATGCTGCAAATCTCAGTTCTATTTTTTCAGAACTCCTGTTAAAAAAAATCTATATACATGAGGTGTAGTTTTTTATATAGAAAAAGTTCTCCAGAACTCAGTTTTTTTTTTCTATAAAAAATAAATTCTGAAGAACCTATATCTAGATCCTCTGGTACCTTCATGTATTCTATGGAGAGAATATTTCTGGGAATAAATGTTAACATAATTATAATTCAAAATTTTCACATAGTTTTTTAGTAGGAAATTTGTGACCTCAAATATTTCTGAAAATCAAGTACAATTCTGTTATACATTTATGAAATAGTATTTATATGTTTCTTTATATATATGTATGTATATTTTTCTACTATATTTTATAGTTGTTGTTGCTGTTCTGCTTGTTACAGCATTTTTTTATTATTATTAATGGCTTATAATATTTAAAATATGTTTTTTTTGTAAGCTACAATTTTTTTTTTGTTTCCTTTCATTACTGTGGAATGTTAACATTTTTTGTTTGTCTCTCAATATTTTTTCATTTGTTTTATTTTTTATATTCTACGCTTATATAATTGTCACAAAACTGTCGATACATCACATTTCAATTTGTTGTTGTTGTTCTTACCTTAAAGTTTTATATAGTATTTGCAGATAAGTTTGGGATTAATATGGTTCTAATATGTAGACTCACACTTAGGCATGTGTCAAATGGTTAGAAGTTTCTTTCAAAGTTTATTTTTTTAGGAGGGGGGTTCAATAGATGTGGATTTCATTCATATTTATTTTCAACAATAATCAACCAAGTTTTTTTAGTTTTTTTTTTTTATTTTTCTAAAGTAAAGTTCCAATTTTTAACACGTTTTCCCTAGGTCTTTTAAGTTTTTTGTTTCTCTTAGGAAATAAAAGCATACACACATTGACAATTTGTTTCTTTTGCTCATAATGGCCATTTTCCTGTTAAACTGTTGTTGTGCCTTAAAATGTCTACTATTTTTGTTGTTGTTGTCTAGCAGTTTTTTCTCAACTGTAACTTTATTTGGCAGTGTGTAAACCTAAAGTGTGTTCTTGTTTTTTGGCAACACAGGGATTTGTTGAGTTTTGAGTGTCGGTGTGCATGTGGGTGTGTGCAAGTGTTGCATACAAAAAATATCTCTAAAAAAATCTTTATAAAAACAATGATTTTATCTTGTTCTTTTTTTTGCTGTTATTGTGTTAGTTAGTGTGTAAACTTGTGCCGCTACTTGGTTTAGGAAATCAAGTGCATTTGTTTTGCATTTGCATTGGTGGTAGTTTTGGTGGCGGTGCCTTTGAAATTCTCAATACTTTGCTGTTTTTTGAAATTGAAATCAATCTAATAGAGTAACTTATATATACAAAACAAGATTTTGTGTTTTTACAACCATTTTTTATCATTAACTAACTAACAAATTAAAAATTGAATTAATTTATTTTTTAGGATTTTGAATTCGATTTTTTATGAATTCAAAATCCTAAGTCAAACTAAATTATAATTTGTAAGAAAATTATGAAAACATGTTATAAATCTTCAAATTGAAAATTGTAGTTTAGCTATGGTGCACTGAGCATTGTGAATATTTTGAATCCATTTCTTCTACAGCAAATCTCCAATCCAATGTAACGCCTAATCCCCTTTCTATAGAAACAAATCTGTCGTTCGAAGGTCCACTGAAAATTATACACAGTCAACGTCCGCAAATATCCAACTGGCCCAATCCGAATCTCATTTATAATTTTTCTATACAAAAATCTGAACAATTCGGATCCAATGTTTATGGATTGGAAAAAGCTTGACCTTTCATGGGACACTATTTGATTTAGGAAAAAATCTGATTATAGGACAAATTGTTTCTACGAAAAAATAACTTATTACAGGTCCAATATTTCTTCATATCATTTCATTTCCGATATCATTTCAACCTTTCGTCATTGCATTTATTTTAATAATCACATATTTTTTTTCATACAGATTCTGCAGATGTTCACTGCCGGGCGGAGTAACTAACTTCAATGTATTTTATTATTATTTATATATTTTTTAAACAATAAATAAATTTCAAAAGTAATAAAACTAAAAACTGAATTTTTATTTGTAAATGTACATTTCTAGTGAGTTGCCGACTTACTGTTTTAACTGGCTGTCATTTTCGCATAGGACCAAAAATTTGGTACGCTCGTAATTAACGACTTTTAAACCATTTTATATATTTTTAAGTAAATCAAATGACGTACTATTATTTTAACTAAAAATATTGTTTTTGTCATCTATTTTCATTTTTAAAATTTTAAAATCCTTATCTAATGACATTAATACTTAAACTTCTACTGCAGCATTTGTTCATGTTATTTTTCAAATATTCCCTCAATTATCGTTAATTTTGCACAAAGCGGATTAAATCCATTTACTCGAAACCTTCAGCAGCAATCTAATATCAATTATTTTTCATAAAAATAAATTTCCCGCAATTTGTGACAGTTTTTCAAAGCGGATATTATTTTCGCAATAGTTAATTGTATACATGTTATACGTCTTTAATATCGATACACATAAAAACTACATATTTTCGCCTAACCAATAGTGAAAGTTTCATGTAAATACATGCATTCATTACTGAGCTATAGCTATTTAAAGTTTACCTTGTGTCAAAATATAGCGGCTACACGCTTCTGTTTGCCTATTACCTGAAATTGAAAAACAAGCAATAATTGCATGTTCACAAAACAGATAAATGCGAGGATAGGTGGTGTGTTACCAGATTAGTTTTAACTTGCGTTGTGTGCTTTCATGTTATTTTCCAAATTTTGAGCATACTTTTAGGCGTTAGATGAGAAACATACCGCATACAAATTTGTAATGAATATCTTATTTGAATGAATGCGCCTAAAAGTATGCACATTATTTGTAAAAGTGGAACACAACACAACCGAACGATCTGGCATCAATTACTCAATGCTTATTTTGCTTTTGAAAACATTGAATTTCTTCATTTTTATTTTGTTGTGGTAATAGGCAAACAGAATCGCTAGCTGCTATATTTTGACACAACATAAACTGATGATGGTGATCAACAAATGGTTATATCTCAGTAATGAATGCTTGTATTGGCATGCAATTTTCACTATATGTTAGGGGAGAATTTGTAGTTTTTATGTGGTATATCGATATTGAAACATTTATATAATAATTAACAAAATTCATTAGTTTTGAAAAACTGTCTTAAAATTGCGGGAAAATTGTGTGTTTAAAAAAAAATTAAATAACGTTGCTGTTGAAGTCTAGAGTAGAGGAATTTCATTTGTTTTTGTGCATAAATAAGAATAATTGAGGGAATATATGTCATAAAGAACAAATGCTGCAGTAGAAGTTCATGTACTATACGCCATAAGACATTGCAAAAAATATCAATACAATTTATAAAATAATATGTTTTAGATGTTCTCCTAAAATATATGGGGTCCTCAATATGTTTGTAACAGCTAGAAACAATCCCCATAATGTATAGATATATGCGTGTTCTTTTTTTTTTTATAAAATTCTATGTTGATTTAAACATGTACGCCTGTCTATGCGTGCGTCTGCTTGTCTGTTGAAATCACAATAGAGCTCTCAATATTGAAGATAGAGATTTGAAATTTTGTACTGATATTGGTAGTATTTTTGGCATTGAAAATGAGATATATGGGGGTCCAGGTTTTGTCGTAGCCCCCATATAAAAGAGTACAGGTCCATGTTTCGTTATTTTGAGGATTTTAGGTTTAGTATTTGATTAATGGATTCAAAATATTGTGCAGAGTGAAGGTCGAGGCGTGAATTCAATTGTGCACTATAGTTGTTATAAAGCTTTAGATCTGAAACTACACCAATATCATAAAAAATATTAAAAAAAATTACCAATTCTTGTGATTTTTGGTTTTACGGAAATATATTCTCAAAATTTTAAAACAATATTTTATTTTATCAGTAATAATAAAAATTTCCCTTAAATTGAAATTTTTATTTTCACCAATTTCCAATGAATTATTAAAACAATATATATGTTTTAATATTGGTGTAGTTTTTACTAGATTTAATTCTTTCTAAATAACCAATACTAGTTTTAAATAATAATAAAAAACACAAATTAATATTTTTAAACTTATATAATTGTTTATACACATATATACAAATTAACATTAAAAATTATAACAACTCAACTAAACAAAACATGTAAAATAAAATACAAATCAAACTACATAAAAATAATAATAAAATAATTTTCAGATTTTTTTATGTTGTCACATATAATTAATTAACGAATTAGCGATTTTGTTTAAGTAACACAATTAGTAAAAAATTTCAATGCCTTCTCCGATGTAAAATTTCTTTCGCACAAAATATCCTTAATTTCCCATGCCAATTAGCAGCGGCAGCGCAGCTATACAACTTTTGTCAAAACTGAAATTTTTTGCTTTTTGTTTTTGTTTATTTCGTTATTCCTCTTCTTGTGTTTTCAAGGGCGAAACCGACGCAGAGGAAGAACAAAATTTGTGTTACTTAAACAAAATCTATACGATCCTATGGATTTCCTGTATTGCCCGTCGCTTGGGCATTTTGTCGACGCAAGTCGGAGCCGATCAACGCTGTTATAATGGTGCCCGCTATCAACATCACTGCCATTGTGACGTTGGCCGTAACATCGCCATAGTCGCCCAATAGCCATGAATACAACGACGTGAAGATAATACCAAAGACTTGTGAGGCGGCATTCAGCAGACCCGATGATGTGCCTTCCGGCTCGGGAAAGGTTAGTTCAGCACCAAATTCAAAGCCAACCGGTAAATAGCCAGTCATGAAGAAGCTATACAGGGGAGAAGCAGAGACAAGAAGAGGTGGTGAAAAAATAAAATTGTGAAAATATGACAACACAAAACGTAGTCACAGTCTGGACATTTGTCTGCATCAGATGATGACGACGATGTCGAGAGGATGATAATGATGATGCTGCTGATGATACTTACCCCAACAAGGATGCTGTTACATAAACGACAGCAATACTTCCGGTGTCTAAAGTAAAGGCAAACACCCACATTCCTACCATGGAAAATGCATACACAGCCAATGTAGTTTCTCTGCAAATAACAAGGAAAAGACGGAACGGAAAATAAGTTAGAAAAATACCATAACCAAAACAAAAAAAAAAACAGAACAACAATAACAACACCCAAGAGGAATATTATCAGACACACAAATACACAGTGAAACTACCACAAAGAAAATATGTATTGTAGATTTCTCGGAATATAAATACAAACAAACACACCAAACGATAAACATAGCTCCATGTTGCATAGCCAGACCAGACCAGGCCAGCCACAACAACTGTTCGTTGTGGAGTCCTTAGTAAAATGTTTCTATTTAAGGCTTTAACGAATATTATGTTCAGATAGCTAGACAGGAGGACTATAGCTATTATAAATTTGATATACGAATTAAATTTTGTTTAGATGTTGCATTTTTAAATCAACATTGCCTGTCTGTCTGTGTGCTGCCTAGTTGGCTGGCTGTCTGCTCCATTTTCATTTTCTCTTAATTAACAGCAAAAAAATTAATTTTTTGAAAGCTTTTAGTTTGTCCAGTCATTTATTTTTTGTTTTTGTTTCGTTGCCTATCAAATTAAATTAACATTGCAATTTTGAAAAATTTTCGAAACGTCATTTAGAAAACCGAGGGGCGGGATGAAAAGGCAATTCAAATTTTGCAAAGAATTAAAAACATCTAATAAAGATAATCACGGAGAGAGAGGAAAACATATATCTGTAGGGAGCCTTTACAGGCGAGTTGGAGCGAATCGTTTCTAAAGGAGCAGAAAGGATCATTTCATAGAGCTGAAGGAAGTCCTCCATTGACTATTTAGATGGAATTTTTAAAGACTAGCTGAGGAAAGTGTTTGAGAAGTGTTTAATGACGAGTCTTCGAGGCTTCTGCAGAAATGGCACGACGTTTTCCGAACAAGGGACCTCTCTAAGACACTAGAAAGGTTTTCTAGAGGTCCTACATGCTATTTTTTGGTATATTAGAAATTGAAACCCTTTCATGGGTCCTCCTTCCCCTTTTGATGATGGATACCAAACCTATAAAAAGTTTTTTTATAAACAACACCTTCTTCTCCACCCCTCGTTCGGAAAACCTTTCTGACCATTTCAATGTAAAATATTTTCCATAAAATAATAAACAATAATTCAATTTGTTGCTGCTGTTGTTGTTGTTGTTACGTGTTATAATGCAAACAGACGGGTTATTGCAATAAACATGGTTAGCATCTGGTCGATGACAGGTCGTTGGAAAAGAAGGAAAACTGCTGTTGTTGCAGCATTTGATTTGTGTTTTTTTTATTAATGGATTTCTAACCAAGCGATTTCAATGCCAATGGCAGAAGAAGGCGAAGGCAATGAAGATAATAAAATAGAAAATGACAAACAATTATAAAAAAGCATTTATAAAACGATTTGCCGGAAACAGATTTTAAATAGGATGCGTATGATTAATATTGTGAGAGAAATTGAAAAACGAAATAAATTATACGCCGCCTAGGTTATTTAAGAATAATAATATTTAAATGGGCGCTTACTTTACATAAGTTTTATAAAATATATTTTGTATTATTTTTATGTTCTCGAAGTGTGTTATGGTAGTATTTTTTCTTCTTTGTGTTTTGCTCAAAGGATGACTATTAAAAACCATTTTAGGTACTTACTTAAATTTATGAGATTTATCCAAAATAATGCCCGAAACAACTGAACCCAACATGCCGGATAAGACAATGGCTAAACCAATACGACCGGTATCCACCTCATGGCCAGGATAATATTTAAGCACCACCTACCAGCAAAACGCAAGAATAGAAAGAAAGAAATACAGTCATAAAATAACATTTTGTGGCCAGCAGCAGTAAGAAGTTGGAAAGGAAAACAAAGTGTTATGCTTGAGATGATGTTGTCCCCCGAGGGGGGGAAACTTACCGGATTCAGCAGCGTTGAGATGGCATAGAACACCCCGACATTCATGCCATAGGAGATGAGCAACAAAATATAGTTGCGATTTAGCATTAAATTCTTTAAAGAGGTCTTAAACGAAACTTGATTCTGTGCTTCAATTGAGCCGGGCAAGGCCACCTTTTGGGCAGCTGATGGCGGTGTGGGTGGTTTATCCTGGAAAACTGTAAACAAACAGAAAAATATATTTTTTTTAGATAAGGGTTTAACAATTTGTTGTTTATTTGTGAAAATTTATCCACACACATACTTACACAGAACCATTAAAATGACCAAAACCGTGGTTACGCCAGCCACATAATTGAACATCCATTGCAAATCGTGACCAACCATATCTTGATCTTCATTATTTGCAACCAACATTGGAGGCAGAACAAAACCCAAAGCAACGCCCAGCTAGAAGCAAATGAAAAAAGAGACAAACACACACATACATAAATGGGGAATAATTAAAAATTGTCCTTCTTTGTTGTGGATAAATGTTGCCACTGAAAGCCATAATTTTTGGAACACAAAAAAATAAACACACACACATATACAACCAATACAAAATGCCAAAGGCTACTGGCATTCTGTTGCTGCTGCCTCCCCCACCCATCCATTTGCCATGATGTGAGTGTGGATTAAAAAACTGTTGACTGTTTTATGGCTTGGTTGCAGTTTCATGGCACTTTATTTCGTTTATATTCTGTTGCGTTATAGTTCCCTTTTTCTCCCTCTCCCCTTTATTTGCAATGCATTCCAACTATACCAGGTCCAGTTTTATTATTTTTTTCTGTTCTTATATCCTTTTTTCCCTCAAACATGTTCTCGCTCTAATGTTCATTGAGCCATTGTAAAAAATGACATTTTTATAGTTTGGCAAATTGTTGGGGGCACATGAGTGACACATTTCCCGATTGTCCGACAGTTCATAAAGAATAATGACCAAAAAATGGTGTAGTTGTAGTAGTCCGGCTAAAATGGCCTCGTAAAAAATGAATGAAGTTGAAGGCGAACAAAATGAGAACTAGACTGGTCAGAAGATTCCGTTTGACACTGATGTAGTGGTCAGTCAGTTGTGAAATGTAACAAAATAAAACTTGGAACGTAAGGAAGGAAAAAAGTAATGCTTTCTATGTGTAAACATGCATGCACTAACATGATAAGAAAACCTATGTATTTATTTATTTAGGTAATAATGGTGGAACTGATGCCAATTTTTTAGAATAAACTATTGAGGAGGTTGCTAAAAATTAATAAAAATTGCAATTACGACTGAAATGGAGGAACCTTAAGAGGGGAGTCAATGCAGAGGAGTTTAAGAACGACTTTTTTAAAAACGATTTAGGGCGTCTTTTCAGAGGTATTTTTTGGATAAACTTACGGGTTTTTTAAACGACCTGGAGGGAATATTTTAAGACGAGCTGATGGGAGCTATTTTAGATGAAGTCTTTTTTAGACGAGCTAAATGAAGCCTTTCAAACATTGAGATGAGTATTTCTTTACAGGTGACCTGAGAGGAATTTTTATAGACGAATTAACAGTCCTTACAGACGATCACAATTGACCACCTGAAAGGAGTCTTTACAGGCGATCGGATGACAATCTTTTAATGCGAGCTGAAATGAGTCTTTAATAGATGAATTGAGTAGAGTCTTCTATAGACGCGCTTAAGGGAGTCTCGTTACACAAGCACGAGGAAGTACATATATACGAGATGAAGGCACTCTTTCATATACGAGCCGAAGAGAGTATTTCCTTGATGGAATGATTATTTCATACATGAGCTGAGAGGTAGACTTTTACGGCCCAGCTGAAGAAAGTCTTAACAGATATCCAAAGTAAAAAATTTCTTCGAATACCAGATCCAATTTTCCCTATAAAGATGTCCATGAACACCAAACTAAACTTTTAGTAAAAAAAAAATTCTCCGAAAATCCAATTTGAATTTTGTGCTACAGGTTCAATTTTTCTGTAGGAAAAAACTTGCATTTTGAAAAAATGCACGGGATTCTTACTTATAATTTTTTTATACTACAAATAATCAGGATTTTCCAATATTGTAGTAGAAAAAACTACCCCGGATCACAGGTCCAAATGTTTTCTATAGAAAAAAATATCCGTAATTTAGGTTTGAGTTTTGTCTACAGAAACGAAATTGAAATTCAGCTATTGGTGAATCTTATTCTAATTTCTTTATGAAAAAAAAAATCTGGCCCATTGACCAACAGAAAACAAAAAATCACCCGAACTCTGATCAAAACTTGTTTATAGAAAAAAACTTTCCGAATTCAGGTCCATAAAAACCTAAAAATAAAATCCATTGTTGTAAAAAACTTCCAGTTCTCATCTCAAATTTTTATTATAAAAAAAAAAAAAATTCACTGGACAACAGGTCCACTTCTTTCGACTAAAAAAATCGGATTAAATTAAAGAAATCAGGAAGTCAATTTCTATAATAAGTTAGAGGACTCCTTGTTCAATTTGTTGCTAAAGACATAAACACAGCGGACCTCAGTAAAAAAACTCTGCAATTCAGGTCAAATTTTTTCTATTAAAAATAATTTTTTTTGTTATCGGTTTTTATATGCTCCATGGGAAAAATGTTTTCTATGGAAATCCTCCTTTAAATTCTGCATATACATTGAACACATACATGCAAGTCAGAATGTTGTTATTTCAGTAAAAAGGCTTTAGGTTATTACACAAGGATTCAGATTAAATATCCCGCCTGTAGTATCTTCATTAATATTCCGCAGATTTAAAAGGCCACATATAATCCGAATGTTTGTGGGGGGTCCTGAGCTTGGTTTTCTTTTTTTCCGTTTTAAAATGACATTAGGGATTTTACTTTTAAGCAGCAACAAAAAATACCAATACAGAAATAAATTACAAACACATAAACACCCACACATTGACACTCAAACCCTCTACTGCTCACACACATGTAATGAACATAAATAGGAATAAACATAAATTATCCGCCATTGTTTAAGTGGCAGAGTTAATTAGAAATTGTCTTTCTCTAAGGCATGCCAACCACGGGGGGGAAATAAAGGATGGGATGTAAAAATCTGGAAAAAATAAACCTTGAATTGTTCTGCAGCACATGTGTAAGGGAAGCATGTCCTTGAATTGTTTGCTATATTTAGGCATTGATATTATTTAAATTCCAAATAAAGGGGTTCTTTGTGATTTTTGGTAACTTAAGTCAACGTCAGGTTGGGCCATCTAAGCTCTTAAATTGTGTGTCTAAAAGTCTATATGTGAACGAGAATACATAATTAGGCGTAGCATCTTTGATTCCTTTGTAATGCAATCATGTTTCAAGGTTGTTTTATTAATGTTTGACAACATTCAGTCATCAATCAAATATCTTTGATAAATGAACAAACACACGCACACACAAATGCTGATACATACATATATTGTAACAATAAATGAAACAATGAATAATGAAACAAAAGATACATCAAATACCCTAAGAGAGCTAACTTCTTAACGCTTACATTAGCTTTAAGAAAAAAAAACGTTAACAAATATATTACTCAACCCAATATAAAATTATCCCAACGAACATCCCACTAGGACCAAGGAGAACCTTACCCCATATCACCCACATACATCTGTAATAATCAAATATTTACAAAACAAAAAATGTAATTACAAATATTCAAATTACATCTTAAAATGTCCCCTTTATTTGGCCTTTTAAGAATCTTAAGATTTTTGTTTATTACTTTTGCTATTGAGAACTGCTCTTAAAATGAAAATACTTTTTTCTGTTCCTCAAAATTGTATGTCATGTAAGAACAAAAAAAAACGAAGAAATCCCTTGGCAAATAACGCTTATTACAAAATAATAACTGTCAACAAAATGTCAGCGAAAATTTTTGTGCCCTTAAGTACATAACACAGCCTCATTTCCACGGTTTCCTTCAACGTTTGTCTTGTTTGCTTTCCTTACGCGATGAGAACAACATCACAGCAACAACGACAACTTCCTGTAGTGCAAAAACAATAATACTCATACGCCTGAGTGTTCTCAGAAAAAATATTGCGAACATCTGTAATATTGCTCATACGCCACATATTTTGTTGACACCACAATGGGAAGGATATATTTACAACCTAATAATTTTATGAGATGTTGACAATATTTGCAAAAATCGCTGTTGTATTACATTGATGGGCTATGTAAGTATTTACTGATAAATAATGAATATTTATTGGTAGCATCACAAAAATATGCCCTAATCATTTACAATAAAAATAAAAATGTAAATATTCTAATATGGAAAAGGCGTTCGTTCGGTTTACACAATTAATAAAAAATAAGATTCGAACAATGATATGAGACGATTTGGAATATACCCATGTACCCAAAGTAATGTAATTTAAAAATTATAAAATAAATAAAAACGTCATCAAGCCCGGCCGGCCGCCATTTTTTTACAATCTACCATGCGGTGGACATTTAAAATTCATGTAATCATTCGGAAATTTAATATATGGCGAGTTATGCAAGGATGTGCCCAAATTAATGCTACTTAGGTTTAAAAATTAGTATGCCATGGTAAATTTTAGTAAGAAAATGTTTTTATACCCTACATAACTATGTTGTAAGGATATTATAGTGTTGTGTGGCCCCATGGGTTTGTAATGCCGCGAAAAACCTTTAATTATACGATCGTCATATCTCTACTAGCTGTGTCGATCTAGACGTGTGTGTCTTATCCATTATAATTTGTAAACACGCTACAGGTCACAGTTGTGGACCAATAGTCACGAATTTTTGCATTTAGGTTAAGTTTGGGCCAAAGAAGAACCCTATGATCGGTTAATATTTAGGAAATCAAATAAAACGAAAACTTTATATTTGTTTGTTTTCTAGTCGCTCTAGACGTAACCGAACATGCCGAACATAACAAATTTTTCATGTGTAAGGGAATCTAACCAACTATTTAGACGGGCTGTTTTGATCGGTCAATATTCAGTCAAAAAATCAGCCATAACCACAACTATTTTCAAGAGATATTTAAAGTGTAGCGAGAGAATTTTAATATGAGTCGTTTATTTTGAAAGCAGATTCTGTTTATTTTTCTTATATTGAGACTTTTAAATTTTTGGGTATGATTAGTTTTGAAAATATTGTTAAGTGGTATTAATTTTGTTCTTTGTGCCCTAAAACATTATAGAATTTATAATATAATATGTAAGCTTTTATAGAAAACCAAAATTTGTTTCAGAACCTATTAAGAAATTAAACAAATTGAATGGAAACTAAATAAATTATGATATTGGCCATGTGAGCGTATACGTGTTAACACCACGTATACGCATCCAAGACCAATAAATAAACAAATCAATTATATTTTCAAAACTTTTTAATGTTAATATTAAATATATTAAAA